AGGGAAGGAATGACAGCAGGAACAGGGAGCTGGCTGATGGCATTGCAGCTGCACACATGAAGCAGAGAACAGCAAGTGGGGTGAGGTCATACCACTTCAAAGCCGGCTCCCCATGATATATGCCTTCCAGCAAGGCTACACCTACTGAAGGCTCAACATCCTTCCCAAATAGTGCCATCACTTCACGTCAAAATGTTCAAATACATGAGCCTGTAGGGGGCATTTCAAACTCAAACCAAAAGAGCCTTGGAATGAACCTAACAAGGAGTTGAAAGGCCTCTATAATTAAACCTCAAAACACTGGTGAATATGAAAATAAGACAGTAGAGATGGAGGAAAGCATCTCTCCCCTCGCACATGGGTCATCAGAATTATGTAAGAATGGGCATATTGCTAAAGTTTTCTGATGTCTCCATAAAAATCCCAATGGTTACTCTTCATGTCAATAGAAAAGATAACTCTGGAACTCACAAAAGACCCAAAAGAGCTAAAGTAATCCTGAAGATAAAGAACATTGCTGGAGGTATCACCACCTTATCTCAAATTATCATTCGGCCATAGTGACAAAACCTGCATGGTACTGGCACAAAAACAACATGATGACCAATGCAATGAAGTAGAGGTTCTAAAAAAGATAGACCCACATCACCTAAAGCATAGTGCCAGAAGCACACAGTAGAGCAAGGGCAACCTTGTTGGCAGGTAATGCTGAGAAAACCAGATTCATTCAAGTAGAAAATGAACATAGATCCTTCTCTGTCTTTTTCACTTACAAATAAAATCAAAACAGATCAAAGGCCTTCATTTAAGACCCCAAACTCTGAATCTGCTAGAGGGGAAATACGTTAGACATTGCCCAAGGACTCTGTGAAGAACCCTAGTAGGTCAGGATGTGACAAATGGGACTACACACAATTAAAAATATCCTGGGCTTCAAAAGAAACAATCTTTAGAGTGGAGAAAGAGCCCACAGAACAAGGGAATAAAACTGTTCCCTATTCATACTGGGAACCTAAATACTGAAAAACAAAAGCATATCATCCAGTCAACAAATGGGCGGATGAACTGAGCAGCCTGTTCTCAAAAGAAGTATAAATAATCAAGACATGGGAGAAAAATCTGTTCCTCGTTCTTAGCCACGAGGGAAGTACAAATCAAACTCACACTGAGTTTCTGCTCACTCCAGTCAGAATGGCTAAGCTTGTGCTGGTGAGATGGTGGCTAGGCAGGCACAGAGATGGCGGCTCAGTAGGCACAGATGCATGGAGTGAAGCCTGCAAGCCCAAACCTGAGTCTTGGAACCTATGTGATGGAAAGAGATGAGTGATTCCTGCAAGTTGGCCTCTGACCACCACATGCACATACATATGCATGGATACACAAAAATAAATATATCTGAAGCTAAAATATAAAGAACCTTTCTTTAAAAAAAATAAAATAAACTAGATAAGGTCAAGAAAACAGTGCTAGGTGCCATGGTTCATGCCTTTAAGTTCCAGCATTCAGGAGGCAGAGACCGACAATGGTCTGTAAGTTTGAGACCAGCCTGGTACATGTAGTGAGTCCCAGGCCAGTCAGAGCTACATTGTGAAAGCCTACATTGTGAAAGCCTGTCTTGGAAAGAAAGAAAGAAAGAAAGAAAGAAAGAAAGAAAGAAAGAAAGGAAGGAAGGAAGGAAGGAAGGAAGGAAGGAAGGAAGGAAGGAAGGAAGGAA